TTTACAAAAAATAAAATCCTTTGTTGATGCTTTACAACGTATATTAACTAAAACATTTTACCACCTTAAACATTAGGTAACATGATTAAGCCACCTAACCATAAGTAAGTCACCTAAAAAAGGCCTTCCATAGATATCCTCATAGTATGACTTGCCATAGTTGCCACGCCTGCGTGAAAATATGCGTTATGCTGGTTGGCCACCGCAGTTTTTTATTATTTTAAGTTTTCATCGGGAAAGTGCTGATACCCCATCCCCATCTTGTATTATTGCTTACGACGCGGGGCAATATCATCCCGTGTGCAGACAAATTCTCTTGTACGCCGTTTCCGCCCGTAGTTTTTGTCACAGAATGTATTTTCAAGAGAAATTAATAAATCATCTGAATTATAAAAGAACATTTTTTTTATGGTAACAATTAAGTTTTTTGTATGAATGTAAGTGCTGTGAATATAAATAAACCCATAACGGGGGAAATGGAACAATATCTGGTAACCCAGTGAAAGTACCTCCCGCCTATTTCTATCTCAAAAGCATACGCGAATGCTTTATCTAGTCATTTCTTTATCTACGTCTACTGTAGACACATTGACGTCTTGAGTGACAATTTGGTTAAATGGCGGCTGTAGTACACAATTTTGCCGCAGCTGTCAGTTCACAGATAAGTTGGTGGGACTATACAAAGTCTATGGTGGGACTATACATATATATTTATCTATGAATTGAACATTTCACAGGCAAATTCTCAAGACGTCATCAATGTTATGACGCGTTTATTTTTGGTTAAAATTTATGTTAAGTATATACAATTTAAAATATAGAATGTTTTCAATTATTTTGTTAATTTTGATATTTTGGAAAGAAAAAGTCACGTTGTTGATAATTTGCATGAATTTGGTAAATACATTTATATACAAAATATTTTATATGTACGATTAGGGATTGACTCAACTACACTCGGCGTCAAAAAAATCGCACATCCGAAAAAAATCATTTAAATACTATTTTAACACAACAGGCCAATGGCAATGTTGTGGTTTGAGGGTATCATTCGAAAGGTAATTTCATTAGCTTTCAGGAATTTTAATTGAATTTTACTTTTATAACGAGACGAAAGAGAAATTAAAGAAAAAGACAGGGTATGTACATAGTTGTAAATTAATAATTTAAAAAAAAACTTAATAAATCCAAAAATGTTCTTAAAACCTAGTGTTACCCCCCCCTTGCCTTGATAACGGCTTCCCTGCGATCTTTCATGGACCTTACAAGGGTCGCAACAGCCTCTTGGGGTATTTGTTCCCACTCTTCAAGTACCGCATCTTGGAGCTCTTGAAGAATGGTTGGAGCTGGATCTCGAGCTCGCACGCGCCGTTTTAGGTCATCCCAGAGATGTTCTATTGGGTTAAGGTCTGGACTTCGTGCTGGCCAATGCATAACAGGGATATGCATTGGCCAGCACGAATCATCCCGTACAATAGCCGCGGTGTGGCAACGAGCATTATCATGCATTAACATGAATCCATCACCGACATAACCAGCATACGGGACCACATGTCCCTCCAGGATTTCAGTAATGTACCGACCAACATTTAATGACCCTTGCCCACGGCCACCCCGAGTCCGGGAAACGCACACAAGTTCCGTTTTCCCGTCGACGGAAATGCCGCCCCAAAACATACACGAGCCACCCCCGTATTCGACGGATTCTTCGAAGCAGGGTTGTGTGAACCTCTCCCCCTATCTTCTGTAGACCCTTCTACGTCTGTCGTTGCAGAATAGACAGACCCTCGTCTCATCAGAGAAGAGTACGGTCCGCCACTGTTCTAGAGTCCACTCGCAATGATTGCGAGCAAACTCTAGGCGATCTCTGCGATGCTGTGCAGTAAGGTTTGGACCTTTAGCAGGTCTATGGGCTTTTAAACTCTTTTCGTGTAACCTTCTGCTTATCGTAGAAACACTCACAGATGTTCTCCGAGTTGATCAAAGCTGTTGTTGCAACTCAACAGCATTTGTAAAACGGTTTCGTAAAGATGTCGTAACGATGAAACGGTCATCTCTTTCTGATGTGCACCGTTTTCTTTCAGATCCCGGTTTTCTAACATAACCACCAGTCTACAGAAAACGTTGGAACACCCGTCGAACTGAAAAACGGGACAGATTCAACTGTCGAGCAATGTCACACTGCCGCATCCCCGACTGCAATAGGGCAAACACTTGAGCGGCTTCTTCAGAGCTGGTGTCCATCTTTACTTGTTCTTACTTGGGTTACTTGTTCACGTGTGTTCACTGCAAAGTCTAAATTACGACTGACCCATATTTCATCCAGATCGACCCTTTTATACCCTTTTTAGGTGGTGTACTAGCGTCCTTACTAACGAACATTTGACATTGTTTATTTTTGACGCTCTATAATGATAAATGTTTTAATGATTTCATGATTTTTTTATTAATAATGTAAAGCTATTCAAATACCCATTTCAAACATACCAATATTTATATAAATATAATTCGTTTCTAGCCATTACAGCCATTTATTGCACAAACTCAGAGAGGTGCGATTTTTGTGACGCTGAGTGTATATCAAATTGATGTCGATATTGTGAGTGTGCGCTGGCAGACGCTCATGTCATCTTATCAGTCGATAATATTATAATATTATTACTTATTAGGTTATTTATAGGTAGTATTATTTGTTTGTTTTGGGTATAATTTTTCGTATTAGTTATACATAAATATATTTGTTGTGTTTTTACTGCGCGATGAAGCTTTTTGCGTGTATTTTCTTTGAAGTAAATGCAAATAAAAAAATGAAGCACCATTGGCATGTAAGGTAAGGATCCATAATTAACATTTCCACAAATATTATAATTTAAACTATAAAAGGCTAAGTCAATATTATCAGTATAGTATACAGTTAAAAATAATCCTAATACCCAACCACAATATCTTATTAGGTATAGTACCGCCTCGTTGGTCTAGTGGTTGTAGTAGTGCGACTGCTGATCATGAGGTCTCGGGTTCGAATCCCGGGTCGGGCCAAAAAGTCAGTTATGAGTTTTTCATTTATGTTCTAAGTTATAATTAGTATTACTAAGTTATAGTTTTTTGTTATAAAATAGTAGGTATATTATTTATTGCTTGTTGTTTTCTTCTTTTTCAAAAAATGATTGAGTACATAAGGTTCTATACGCCGAATGTCAATGTCAGAGAAAAGCTAGTACATCTTTTCCTAAACTTTAAAATCTAAAACCAATTTTAAAACAGACGAATTGATCATAACTCCCTTAGCTATAAAATAAGTTATGATCTAATTAATGGTATTTATTCCAGTTTATGGCAGCCCTGATTTATATTACGTGGCTGAAATTAGGTACTTCTTATTAGGTACGTCAAACCAAATAACGGCTGGACGGCTGACATTATGCACTCCATACATTTCTTATATTATCTAATTACAGCCCCATTAATTTCCACTAAAAGAAAATAAATAAGTTGTAAATTCAAACAAAAATAACTGCATTACTATGTCTATAGTCATATTCATACAAATCAAAAAGCTTGTTTTGATTTTAACATTGTTAGGTTTAAAACTGCGAGGTAATATTTGAATAAATATACTTTCCTCTAGGTACAAAGAATTTTTAGATGACAATATTTGTAGTTAAGACTACTAGAAATCTTATTTATGGAGTAAAAAGGCGAAAAGACTGGAATTAGGGGCATGACTGGTATTAGGGGCTTCCACCCAGGGCTAGCTTGCTACATATATATTTATCTATGCTTCCACCCTAATTCGGTAAAAAGTATCTAAGTAGGTATTAATATACCTACTTTTTACTATAAACTCAAATTTTTTAAAACTAAATTAAACTAAAAAGAAAAAACTAAACTGACCATTTATTTTTTAACTCAAAACAGGACATGGATTTATTTATACTCTAAAAACTATAACTTTATACAATTAGTGTTCAATATAAAATTATATTCGGTATAGACGGTAATTATTAAATGCAACATATTTTATTTAGTTATTAATTACATTTGTCAGTGGATTAAATTTGCTTTAATAAAGTTGGTGATGATTTGAAATAAGAATAAAATTCTGCTCAAGTTTTTTTATTGTTACCTTTGTTAACAACATCGCCTTTAGAACTGGAACCGTAAGTGTTTCTTTCAGACGTCCACAATTTATCCAAATAATAAAATACTCTTTCTACTGGAGCATTTGTACCAGGGAGACATAAAATATATTCGATTAAAAAATTATGTTGAAGATTGTTGACTTTGAATACTTCCATTCAACGAGCTACGGGACAATTTTGTGTCCCGGAGCTTTGTTTGGGGACAATGGGACAGGTGACCGAGTAAAGGGACAGTCCCGTTCAAAACGGGACGTATGGTCACTTTAGCTGTAACCCGGCGACGGCTCCGTGGCGCAGTGGCTTAGCAATCAGTTGTTGCGCTGGGGGCCGCGGGTTCGAATCCCGCACGGTACAAGTATTTGTATGGCCTACAAATAATTGTTCCGGGTCTGGATGTTTGTCCTTGTGCAATTTATGTTTGTAAACTGCCTTCACGACACAGGAGAAAATCCTAGTGTGGCGGTAACGTTTTTTTACAATTGAAATTGAAAGATTGAAGAAAGAAACTTTTTGTAAACTTTTTGTTGATTTTTGTATTACCTTTATTAAAGTTACCCTTATGTATAAATAAATATAATTACGTATGTAGAAATAAAATTGATTTTCATCCTCATCAATCATTGGGGTGAGGATAATGTCTGCCAGCATAAGTAATAAGCAGGCTAAGTTACAAGGTGCTCAGTTCAAAAATTTGTAGGTAGGTATGCTACTTTTCAATACGTGACACGTAAAAATTAACAATAATCAAAAACACATCTGCGAATCATCCTATTTATTTATTTATTTTTTATTGCACCAAATATTTGTACAAAAGCCGAGCTATCTATTTATTTACCTATAGTGAATAGGTATCTTTTAAACTCACAATTTTCAATGCTTCATTTTTAATATATAATTAATTACAAAATTTCATAATTAGATAATATATGAAAATACATAATTCTAATATAACGCAACTAATATATACCGAATAAAAAAAATTAAAATACATTTATCTTTGTACGCTATGTGTATTTCCATAAAATAGTTTATTGATGTTGAAAAAATAATACTACGTTCGTACAATAGGTGGCGTCTTACATATTTCTTACGCAATAATATATTGTAGCGAGCGGCACGCCGGTCAAATGCTCAAGGTCGTTCGCATGGAGTAGCCCCTTAATGCAAACATTACATACAAAAAACGACCGTATAGTATTTGACACATAAGCGCCTTAGTGGTCATTTTTACGTGCATGAATAACGTCAGCGAAAATCCGTTCGAGTTGAGTGATACACTTCTTATTTGTTATCTCTATCTGATTTGTGTGGATTATAATTATTTCGCCCGCTAACTCGCCACTCGTGAGTCAATAGTTAAGTTAATCATTGTCTCATTGTCTCAGTCTGTCTCTCTCGCTCGTGGCTCAGTCGCCTCGCAAGCGACGCGTCGCGCGAAATGAGCAAAGAGCAAAGTAATGTTTCACTGTTCCAGATCCAAATGATACATTTGAAACGTTGTTACTGAACCAATCTTTGTGTCACTTCAGTGATTCGTATCAGTGAGTCGTTTCCGTAAAGAGATACACACGCCTACTATACGCCAATATATCTACGAGTATATTCTAAGTGTATGCTACATCGATCACTAATAAAAAACTAGATACACAATCAGTGACAAAAAATGGCATAACCGAATGTGCACCCACTCGAACATATGGGTGCACATTTAATCTAGTAGCATTCGAATGTTCCGACGGTAAACATGCCTCAGTGCTCGTTTAAAAAGTGTAAAAAGCACACATCCAGGACGCTAAAAAATGGTGGAATTTCATATTTTCGGTAAATATGAATATTAACATTATTTAATTGTTATAACTGTATGGTAAATACTGATATTTTGTCAAGAAATCATCGAAAAAGTATTTTTTAAATTAAGTCTTAATAAAATAAGTCGTCATTGTTCGAGGTATATGCGTTGATTCTGTTCCATTTGTGGAAACGCTATTGTTTTTTTTATTTATTTTTTTGTTATTAATGTATGATTGTATTTTTTTTTGTTTAATGAGAGTTCTTTACTTAATATAAAATAAGTTAATATACGCGTTAAAATCCGTAAAACTAGTTTCATTTAAATGTGAAGTGAACGCGTAAATATAAGAAATCATTATAATTATTCAGTCCTATCCGTTTTTTTAAACATCTGTAAATATGAACAGAATTTGCACAAAATTGTTCTTAGATTTTGCAATAAGTTTCTGTACTTATTTTTTATATTTAGTAACTATTATATTTAGATTTAACTTGTTTGTCAAGCAATATCTTTAAATTTTTCACACAAGATAAAGAATAAATAAATAATTATGACTATTTCAATTATTTTCATTACTAAATGAATGTGGTGTCGTATACAAAAGCATATTTACATTCAGGTAATAATATAACCATTACACATATACACCATAGAATAGAATAGAATATGCTTTATTAAGTAGACCAATTATTTAAAACAAGCTTAAAAAAATTGTAAAATTATAATTAAGTTAAAACAAAAAATATTGTGCAGTTCGACTCCACTCTCCTAGTCCAAGCGAAGAGCCTCGGTCGTAAAATTTTATTGCTTTTTGTACGTTGCTTTGTAAATACAACTTTAAGCATATCACTTAAGATTGAATTTACATTAATGTATATTTATATCAACTAGAATTACGTCAAAACATTTGGCGACAGTTTTTAGAGAACTTTTGTATGGGATTGTGCATCTAGTTTATTAGTGATCGATGGTATGCTAGAAACACACTATTATAACACACTTATCGTATGCAACGCATCACACGCGCCCGACGCAACGTCGATCTACGATCGATGTTCCGGTATATATTACTGTACTCTATGGATCGAGGTCTAGAGGCCGGTCTCAATAACTTATCTATTATTCCATCTCTTACTGGAACTGGAAGTGAAAATGGCTACCATTGGTATCTATAGTTACATTTTTCCGTTTCAATAATCAAAGATAGATAGAAATGTTTAACCATCACATTGATCTACCCTTCGGAGGACTTACCGACTACCTGGGTTAAGTAAGTTCATAGAAAAAAAACATCTGACTGTTTCAATAACGTATTGGCAGTTAACTGGCGAACTGGCGATAGTTCAAATTACCAGATGTTAGAGTTTTGTCTATCGCCCTATTTTGAGAGTTAGCAAATATTTGTCGTGATTTTAAATAAATCAAACCTATTTTATTTAATATCTAAAAAACGGATTTGTTCAGTGATGAAAGTGATAATGAAATGTATGAGATAGGTGTTTTTGATTCCGGAGGTATTGTAGATACTGAAAATCGCCGACTTTATAATCGAATAAATTACAGAAGTGAATTTTCTGACTCTGAATTTACATATAGATTTAGATTAAATAAAACGTCCGTGGATGAGTTATTATTGAAAATAACACCATCCTTAAAATAATTTCTTCAAGGTGAGTAAAGAAACTTGTGAACAAAATTTGGTTACATTATATATAGTATCGTCGAAATATGCCACCCAACATAATATGAATGACAGTTATTGGTTTTTTTTATACTTAATTTACTTACTTATATTTAACATTTTAGAAATAAAGGAATATCGCCGTTACATCAGTTGTTACTGACCTTGAGATTTTATGCACTGGGAACAATGCTTTTATCAGTAGCCGACTTTATTGGTGTATCGAAAGCTTCAGCCAGCCGAATTGTGCATCATGTATCTCGGGCTATAGCTGGCTTATACCCTCAATATGTGAAGACATTAAGCAATACCTAGAATGCCTTTCATGAAATCGCAGGATTTCCAAGAATTCTTGGCGCAATTGACTGCACGCATGTTCCCATACAGTCACCTGGTTAGTAGTACCAAATAAATAAATATTTAGGTACGACTTTCCATTGACGTCAGTCGAGTTTGGTGTTGATACATAAATATTATATTAATTTTTTATTAATTATTAAATACTAAATGCAAACATGAAAAAATATCGATTTTTTGGGTATCGATACATCAGCTTACAATTCGAATCTATTTAAAAAATCGATATTATTCGGAAAGAATCGACATCCCTACTGACAATAATAATAAAAATGGCGTCAGTTTCACGGTAGGAATTGACTAAATATTGCAAAATTATTTGATTTACAATATTTTTTTCTTAATAAGTACGTGTTTCCGCATATTGAAACTTTGTGTGTGTGCTTATAATAGTGTAATCTTTTTGTAAAAATACGTATCAACACCCAACTCGACTGACGTCAATGGAAAGCTAAGCCATATTTATTAAGTATAGATTCATTTATTTATATAGATTATACCTAATAACAGAATCATTTTTTGCAGATTCAAATATAGGAGAAGAATTCAGAAATAGAAAAGGCATATTTTCAATGAATGTCCAAGGAGTTTGTAACGCAGACTTGTTATTTATGAATGTTGTTGCCCGTTGGCCTGGGTCTGCTCATGATGCTACTATATTTAACAACTCTACGCTAAACAGTAAGTAGGTACTTAGTTATCTAGAAGATTATAATAATAGGTCATCACATAAACATGATTAATATTTCTTTGTTATTTATTTTCAGTGCAATGTGAAGAGGGATTGTTTGGCAATAGATGGCTTATTGGAGACAGTGCATATCCCTGTACTTCATATCTTTTGACACCACTGCTCAACCCCACATCTGTTGCAGAGAATCGTTACAATGAAGCACATATAAAGACTAGAAATACTATTGAAAGGTAAATATTTTTTTATTAATATTTTATTTTAAAAATTTCATGAATATAATATAAAATACTCTGTAACTTTTCAGATGTTTTGGTATGTGGAAAAGGCGCTTTCCAATAATCTCTCTAAAAATCCGTGTAGCTATGCAGACAACACAGGCCATTATTATTGCCACTTCTGTATTACACAACATCTGCAGATTAAATAATATTAGGGATGTAGATCCAGAAGTTGCAATGCCGCAAGAATCAGGTGCTACCTATGCTGAAGGGATAGGTCAACAAAATCACAGTGTCAGACAACTAATTAATAATTATTTTAGTGTTTAAGTTATGTTTAATTATATAAGAATTTTAATGTGTAAATAATGTTAAATTATACTAGAATAAATGTGCTTTATTTCAAAAATGTCAAATAAAAATCAATGTATAAAATAGATTTTATTTTAGAATCAACTTAACAAAAACATTACATAACTTATAAAAAATACACCTTATTATCACTATTTACAAAATCTTAACATTAGTACTATAATAATCACAAGTCACTTATTTAATCTTTCTATTTCTAGCTGCAGTTTAACTTTTTCAAGTTTAACCACTTCAGTTTTGGCTTCAAAATAAGCAGCCATGGCTAATTCCTTGCTTATCTGAGCCCGTAGTAGTTCTTCAGAGGATTTTTGGCGTTTCTTTACTGTGAAAATAAAAAAACATAGTTAAATTGTCATATTTTATTTATTTCACAATTTATCTTGTTTGACAGACAATTGAGTGGTCAGCCTTTAGATTTTCCTCATGAACCAGAAAAAAATACACAAAGTTGTAACAAAACCTGCAACAAGCAATCACACTACTAGACCATAGAGAGGCGGTCTGTTTTGTCTACTGACTTCAAATAGGAGCCAGTACTCAATTCGACTGTATGTTTTTTTTTATGTGTGTTACTTCATAACTTTTTACTGGGTGAACCGATTTCTATGATTCTTTTTTTATTTGAAAGCTGGTGCTTCACATGTGGTCTTATATAAATTTGATCAAGGTCTGACCAATAGTTTTTGATTTATTCTTAATAATTTATATTGAAGTCGGTTGTACAAAATTTTAAATTATCTAGTAACAGCTGAGGTAAAATATAACTTACAGGGTTTGTAAGGATTATTAACCCTTTGAATGACAATGACAATATATATGCCATCATGTTCTCATTTTCACATTTTCGACAGTACAGACGAACCGATTATGGTTGTTTGATTTTTGCAACAGAGAATGAAGCAGTAAATAAATAAAACAAATGACATGCGACCTCATTGACATCTGTCACTTGTCAGAGAGACTTTCGTGACGAAGTACGTATTTTGTGGTTTTCAGTTACATCTCGATTTATCTCGAAATCTGGACTACCTTTTTATAAGTACTTACATTTATTTTATGAGTTGTTTATTATTCTTGACGAATCATTGAATATTTTTGGAAAACATTAAATATTGTTTACGTAATTTTCGAAAATCATGTCGGCAATATATATATGCCACTGTCTGTATGCCGCAAGGGTACGACGGCAACATGTTGGCCAATACCAGTTTAGTATTGTACTAGGTACCTACATATTTATATTTTCTGTTGTGTATTTTATAGGAATATGGATCGTCGTGAGGTGAATCTGAAACCTGATGAAGTAGAAAGAGCGTTAGAAGAATTATTTGGTTTCAGTGATGGAGCAAGATTTGAAGATGAAGCGGAGGATTCCGATGTAGAAGATTTTTCTGGTATTTTGTCGTCAAATAACTATGACCCAATCAACACTAGGATCTTTCCAGAACTAAGCCCTCGACCAACATCATCACCTCAACCAAGGCCTTTAAATGAAAATGTTATGCAGCCATCCCCGCCAAGAAGTTCGCGACACAGTCCTTCACTTATACATGAACTTCAAGAAGATTTTGATCCATCAGAAATTGAGGACTCAGACGGATCCGATGCAGATGAAGACGAATGGAAAAAAGTAGCCTGGTCACAGAATCCCGTAGTTTATCTTTTTGAATCTATACAATTACAACCAGTTCGGAACATAGCCAATAGGACAAGGCCACTCGTATTTTTTGAAATGTTTTTTGACTCTGAAGCTATCGATATGATTGTAACCCAAACAAACCTCTACGCATCACAATGCAATGACCAAAATTGTGAACAGGTGTCAGCAACAGAGATCAAAGCTTTACTGGGCATGATAATTCAAATGGGCATTCACAAATTACCCTGTATAGAAGATTATTGGTCCAGTGACCCATTACTGCATGTTGTTGAAATTGCTGAGACAATGACATTGAAGCGATTTCAAAAACTTATGAAATATTTACATCTCAATGACAATGCCAATATGCCTAACAGGAACGATGATAACTACGACAAACTGTATAAAATAAGGCCGCTTCTAGATTACATCAACATAAAATGTCAGACAAATGCCAAAACACACATTCTCAATCAATCTACGAGTGTATGATTAAGATCAAGGGGCGATCTACTCTAAAGCAATACATGCCCATGAAGCCCATAAAACGGGGCTTCAAGGTTTGGGCTAGAGCTGACAGCCACTCAGGATACTTGTATCAGTTTCAAGTGTATGCTGGAAAGACCGAAAACGTCGAAACAGGATTAGGCAGTAATGTTGTCATGACATTATGCCAGTCACTCATAAATGAAACCTAAATGGGTCATATAGCATTTGATAACTTTTTTTCTAGTCAAGCTTTACTACAAACGTTATACAATAATGGTATATATGCATGTGCTACAGTCAGAAATGACCGCCAAGATATGCCACTAATTGTAAAAAAGCCTAAAGCAACTGGTAATAAAGAAATTGATGAAAAGATAGCAAAGGCTGTAAAAAATGCAAACCAAAATACAAAAAAGCTGAAAAGAGGAGAATGGAAATGGAGGTTAAAAAATAATGTTGGGTTTATTATCTGGAAAGATAACAAATTAGTAAGCGTTTTGAGCACTGCATTTCATCCAAAGCAGAAAACATCTTGTGAAAGAATTCAAAATGATGGATCTAAAAAATCATTCCCTTGTCCGCTGACAATTATAAAATACACAAAGCGTATGGGAGGAGTGGACCGGTTTGACCAAAAGAAAACCCCGTACGTAGTCGGAAGAAAAAGCTCGAAGTGGTGGAAACGCATCTTCTATTTCCTTATTGATGCTGCAATAATAAACGCGTATATATTGTATGCTTCTAACAGACGTAACCACACAGTATTGTCTCAAAAGGAATTTAGGCTGACATTGTCTCGAGAATTAGTAGCAAACGCAACATTCCGAAAAAGACCCTTTGCCACCATGCCAAAGTTCGCGTCCAAAAAAAGTAAGTCTGTACAATCCGAAGAAAGTGAATCAAGGCAAAAGAAACTATTTGGCGTGCCTCAAGAAATTCGTTTTTCTAAGCTGGGAGCTCATTGGCCTGTAGAATTACCCACCTATAGGTGTCGCTTGTGTAGTAGTGCACACAATAATCAATGATCCAGGATACAATGTGATAGGTTTCAAGTGCCATTGTGTGCAGTGCCTTGTTGTTTCAAAAATTACCATCAAACAGATACATAAATTGGTAAGGCTAGACTGATGGTGGTTTATATGTTGGCATCATGTTTTTTTTTTCTATATAATTAATAAATAATAATTAAAATAAAATGTTTTAAAAAAATATATGATTCCACGTAGTGAAGTTTTATTTTTTTTTATGGGAGAGGGGGCAAACGAGCATGCGGCTCACCTGATGGTAAGTGACTACCGCCGCCCATGAACAACTGCAACACCAGGGGAATCGCAGATGCGTTGCCGGCCTTTTAAGAAGGAGTACGCTCTTTTCTTGAAGGTCCCTAAGTCGTATCGGTCCGGAAAAATCGCTGATGGTAATCGATTCCACAAGGAGGTCGTGCGAGGAAGAAAACATCTTCTAAATCGCACAGTGGTGGACCGCCAATCATCCAGATGGTGTGGATGGTATCGGGAGTTCTGCCGCGATGTGCGTTCGTGACATTTGGCGGCTGGGATTAATCCGAACAATTCCTCAGAGCACTCCCCATGGTAGATGCGAAAGAAAATGCAAAGGGATGCTACATCTCTTCGCAGTGCCAATGAATCGAGCCGATCGGAAAGGGCTCGGTCGTCGACAATTCGAGCCGCTCTGCGTTGGATGCGGTCAAGTGGAAGGAGCTGGCACTGGGGAGCCCCTGCCCAGAGATGGGAACAGTATTCCATGTGAGGCCGAACTTGCGCCTTGTAAAGTAGCAGGCGGTGTGCCGGCATGAAATACTGTCCCGCTCTGCTGAGCACATTTCATTATCTAGGCTCATTCCCTCTACCAGTTAAAGGGTTAAAAGTAAATCTTTATGGTGTGAAAATTTTCTTACTATCACCACCACACTCAGCACTACCACCACCTCCCATCACCAAATCACTAGTTGCAGCCTCTCAATGCTCCGGTAAAGGTTGTAAATCCATGAGTTCCACCACTGCATCTGGTGGAATCATTTCACTTTCCCCATCACCACCAAACTCCACAGCGAACCCCGTGCATGTTGCACCTAACATAGATGTTACACAATCTAGTGCTTCATCAGGAGGCATGTACATCTTTCCACCACCAGTCTGCAAATAAAAATGTTTCAATAGAAATATTACATAAAAAAAAATTCTAAGATGATTAGGTATATCTAACAAAATGTCACAAAATATTTAATGCATGTACTTATTACAAACCTTTAAATTATTTTGCCTTGTCAATTCATTGCGTTTCTTTGATGACTTCTTTAAGTTTTCCCACTTTAAGCGTAGTTGCTCAGGACGCCGCAATTCTCCCGCCATCGCACTAAACTCCTGCGCTATGGATTTCCAAGCCTCTTTCTTTAATTTATTATTTGTGGCATTCGTTGCTTTCGTAGTAATTACTTTGGCTTAGCTTTCCATTGACGTCAGTGGAGTTTGGTGTTGATACGTATTTTTACAGAAAGATTACACTATTATAAGCACACACACAAAGTCTCAATATACGGAAACGCATAATTTTTGAGAATAGAATAATTGAAAATCAATTATTCTTGCAATGTTTATGTCTAATCTGCTAATAAACTGGCGCCATTTTGTAATGTCATTGTCGACGTCAATAGGGATGTAGATTCTTTCCGGAAAAGGTCGATTTTTAAATCGATTCAAATCGTAAGCTGATGTATCGGTTCACAAAAATCGATTTCTAAAATATCTATATTTTTTTAATGTTTCTATTTATAATATAAATATAAACCCATTTTATGAAAAACAAGAAAGATACCATGATAAATGATCTCTTATTGAAATTTGTTTTATTTAACAGTACCTATTAGGGCAGATAACAAATAAAATAGGTTAGGTTCAACTTATGTCAAAGAACCGAATTGATTGACCCCGACTCCACCTGGTACGAGTCTGTCCTACCCCTAGAGTGGTTTTATAGAGCCGGAGGCGCGTAGGGGGAGCAGCCTCCGCCTGCTGTAACAAATCGTAGGCATCGGACGTGCCGGAGCGGCTGAGGCTGGTCGCCGAAGGCGACCAACAAGCCGAAGCTGCGGAGGCGAGGAGGGATGCCTGCGATTTGTTACGCTAAGGCGTAGAGGTTGCTCTTCCCGCAGCGCCGGAGACGTAGCAGTCTCAAAATAGATACAGAAATCCTTATGAACGTCCCCTTATTTTTTTATGATGAAGGGGATTTTTTTCTCATAAAATGGATTTATATTTACATTATAAATGCAAAGATGAAAAAAATATCGATATTTTTGAAAACGATTTTTTGGGAATCGATACATCAGCTTACGATTTGAATCGATTTAAAAATCGACCTTTTTCGGAAAGAATCGACATCCCTATTGACGTCGACAATGACATTACAAAATGGCACCAGTTTATTAGCAGATTAGACATAAACATTGCAAGAATAATTGATTTTCAATTATTCTTTTCTCAAAAATTACGCGTTTCCGTATATTCAGACTTTGTGTGTGTGCTTATAATAGTGTAATCTTTCTGTAAAAATACGTATCAACACCAAACTCCACTGACGTCAATGGAAAGTCGTACCATTACTTTTTTGCTTGGAAATCAAGTCAAGCAGAAAGAGTATTTCGTCCTTAACAAGGGCCCTTGTCTTCATCTGAAACCAAATTTTATAGGTGCTCTACATTTTTGGCGCGACTTTAGACAAAGACCCAAGCTTTTGTAACATTACTGTAAATTTATATATCACGGCAAAGAGTTCACAATACTTACAGTATTTTATTGAGCCATGTTAATGTTTATCGCTAACAAATTAATGCTACACATAAACAATTATATTATGTGTAGTATATTTGCGCTAGCACTTCTTACTAGTTTGTGTATATTTCTGATTTCTGCTGAGCAAAGAGTATAGTAACTGTCCTATACAGGAAAAGAGAGCCACAGAGTACATTATATATTACTGAAAGAGAGCCCACTCACGCAAAATCTGTCAACCGAGGAGTACTAGCGCCGTCTGGTGTCGTTTCACCACAATATTGTGAGAATGTGTGCGTGCGTATAATACATGCACCTCTACATATACACCTCTATTCATGGTAATTCATTACGGTTTTACTAGGATTAATTATCAACAACCAACTATGAATTAAACATTTGAAACATTTTAAAAAGTTTAATTTAATAGTTGGTTGTTAATAATTAATCCTAGTACATAAAGTGTGCTTCATAATTTGTAAATAGGAATTAAGTATAATATGTTTTAACGTGAATGAAATTAAATACAAATAATTGGTACATTATTCTAGATTTTTTGAACTTAATGAAAATAAAGGAGATTGATAAAGATTTAACATAGTTTTGACAATACAACACATACAACTAATATTTTTATTCTAATGTTTATATCATTAATATACTAATAACACAGTGTCTATACAAAAATAGTAAATTTTATTATTTTAATAAATGAATGAGTTTATTATAATAAATGAATCATAACAAACTTTAACATTACAAAATGTCAAGCTAATATCATAAGGGTAAACGGCTATGAATCAATCCAAAGCTGTAACCACACTTGGCAAGTGGGTTGGCAACTGCAGTTATTAGGAAGATCAGTCCACCTGCTGATGTGTTTCCCTCTGTCACCTCTTAAGATGAAACCCACGGAATGATAATATGGAGTTGTGGATATTCTGAGACTGTCACTACACGGTAATCCAATATTTTTTTACAATAAATGATTCGAAACAGCTTTATTATAACAAAATGCTGCTGAGCTTCTTGAGTTGTTGTTGTTGTTGTTTTTATTATTTGCTCGAGAGAGCAGGCAAAGGAACTAAGCCATACAGCCTTCTTCTTTATTTTGCATATATAAAATTTTAAAGTGTAAAGGCCGGAACCAAGTCTTATTTTTCTTCTTTCTATCTCTTCAAAATCCATAAAGGCCGAAGTCAAGACTTTTCATTAATTCTTCATATTTTCAATAACCCGTAAAGGCTAAAGCCAAGTCTTCTTTATATTATATTATATTATTTGTAGGTTTCAATCCGTGTAGATTTGTCAATACAATATTTTCAAGAACAGGGATACCATATTTCATATTTCTTTTACAGTATTATGAATAAAATTGCAAAGTGCTAAATATGTCTTAGTATTCCTAAGAACATCTTACAGGGCACGCGGGACACTTTCTGAGTTGTCATAAACTTGCATAAGTTTTTCAATGAGTAGCAATCTTTCAATGGCGTACGCTGGGCAGTTAAATATTATATGTTCTGCAGTCTGATCTGCTTCTGTATCGCAGAAATTGCATGTTGCAGATGCTACTATTCTCATCCTGGAAAGATGAGCGTTCAGTCGATAGTGGCCAAATCTAAGTCTGCACATTATTGTATAAAATTTTCTGCTATGATATCTCTCGTTGCGAGAAAACCAAGTGTGACGCCTGATAATTATTATTAATAAATAATAATTAAATTCATTATACACACATTTAAAAATGTCTTAGAAATTATAATTTAAACAATAAAATGCAAATAATAAGCATAAAGTTCAATAATATCCATTGGGAATATTGAATATTATATATATTAGTAAACGCATAAAATGTCTCTAAAAATCTCTAAATTTATTAAAAACCTGCTTAAAATGTTAAAAATGTATCAAATCATATAAATACAAGACATATCATCTTAGTGCCGGTAGTAAGCGGGTTTGTTGTAGCAATACGACTTGCCCGTGGACATCGCACACCCCTACCGGTTGTGGCCGGCGTCTTAGCGCATAGCGTTATGATACGTCGGCTATCTTTCGGATTAGGGTTAGTGTGTTTGGTAGTACTTTTAAGTGCAGCAAGCATACTCAACTTCATGTCTTAGTGCAATAGCGCTATGATACGTGGAGTATTGGCTACTGACGTCTTAGTACCGTGCTACTATGATAGGTTGGTGGTATTTTTAGTTAACAACATTATCAAATTTTGTTACCAAAGTCGATAGGGATCATGTGGGTGTGTTGTGAGGGGGCGCCATCCGTATGATAGTTGCATTGATGCTTACTGCTACTTGCAGTATTGTGTCTTGTGATGGATCTGCGGGTGTGCTGCAGCTGATTCGATACATCTTGTGGTTCTGGTCGATGGAGGTATGCGGGTGGTGATGTCTGCTGGGACTGTATGGGGGACCTTGGGATGGTGTAAGCCCGACGATAGTCGTATTGATGCTTGTTGCATTCTGTAGCAATGCGTCTCTACGATGGTTGTTTGGCGGGTCGCTATTCTCAATGGCGCTCTCTGCGTCTTGGTTTGACTCACAACCTAAGTAGCTTTGCCCAAGTCGGGTCCCTTCATTGCGGGGCTGCAGACTGTCTGCCCTCCATGATGTTTTATATAACAACTTAATAATATATCTCTATAAAGTTCCCACCTTTGAGAGATTGAAGGCAACTTGTTGGTGGATGAGACAAACATGATCGAAAAATGCATATACTCAACGTCAGTGACACAAACCCTTTCTGATGGCGAATTATTAATATTATCTTATAACTGCCTATTGGCTATATCTGCCATTGTATTGGTTGGTGGAGCATATGTGTTGACCTCATGCGGGTGGTAGCTGGAGGGAGAATCTGAGGAGGTTCTCAAGGCTGCGGCCGAAAGCCGCGCAACGTGGGACCCCATTCCCTTGAGGTGAGCGGTAGACTCATGACACGCTCTGCGGCAAATTGGCCGTGCTGACCATGCAATTGGTGGTGATGCCTTACACTTACATCACATCTGCAGGAACGGCGGTCTGGCAGGTGGTGGCGCTCACGGAAGGCTTTTTATGGTCAGTGTGCCTATTGTTGCCTAACCCGTGTGACGTACATTTCACTGTGGCTGGATTTGATCGTATTCTGTATGGCGTTTACACGCATTGACATGCGCGACTTCGGTCGATGTTTGTGCTTACGCACTATCAAGGGGCCAAGTCCTCTTTTACTTACTTTAACCTTATTTTTTTCCAAATTGAGGATCTTGATTGTTTCATATTTACAAATGTTATTATTAGGTGAAAATTTAATTTAATAAGGACCAAGATTTTCCAGGGTGATTTAGCTATACCTACTTATATAAATGATTTTTTTATAAAACAAAAAATAGTACATAAGGTTTGTAATCTGCATAAAAAAAGTCACTTACTCTCAATTTCAAAGAAAACACATAGAAAAACACGTAGTTACCCACTAAAAACAAGTAGCCTTCCATTTGTAACTGATGTTAGATGTCAAATAAACTTAATTAGGTCTAAACAAGTAAAAAAACCATAAAAGAACACTAATTTTACACATGGCTGATGGCACAATAAATGGCGCACGCCAAGCGTGTCATGAACTATTTGTTCGCCGCCACAGCTAAAAGTTGTCGAAAATTGGTGCCGCAACGAATCGGTTAATATAATATGTATTACTTGAGAGATACATTGTGTTTTCATGCGATTGCCAAGTCAATCTATTTATTGAAAATATAAAAGATTTTTAGTGTTGATGTGGTCACTAAAAGATGTTATTAGATTAGCTAACTACGTAATAACTTAAGACAGAAGGACCCTTAAGTAGGGACTGAATAAATCAAAGAGATTTAAAATATATATATATATATATATATATATATATATATATATATATATATATATATATATATATATATATATATACTATAGAGTGGGCATTGGGAAAATTTATATACAAAAACTTTAAGCTCCTGCGTGTGTGACGCCCTCTAGCTAAAAATAGCAAAACTACGCTATCATTTATAAAGACACCATTTTAGCTATTCCCCAGTAGGTGACGCTTAAATTATAAGATCGTTTTAGGAATGTTACCCTTTCGATACCATAGTATCGATAATGTTGTTGAAGGTTACTAAGTTTAAAATGCTTTAAAATATAATAATAGGGAATAAAATGATTGTTTCATTGTATAAATCTATTTATCATGACTTCCATTACACGAAAAAAATCACTTTAACTTTTTATGCCTCTTTAGTGAAATGAAATAAAATATTAATTTCCAATAACTAAGAACCAATTCAAACAGCAGTCACATTGGTTGCCGCCTTGGTGGCATCTTGAATGACGTCACTCGGTCCATTAGAAGCTATAATAATAGCATATGATTAGTCGATCGGCGTTGAAGACACATCAAGAAACGCCAAAATCAATAAGGGAGCGCCTCTATGTTTTTAAATTCGTTTGTTTTACAAAAATACCCTTCAAATTTAAAATATTTAGGAAAACTGAACTTAAAAGCCGTTTCACGATAAATCATTTTATAAACTTATATTCATACATTCATATTTTAAATACACTAGTATGTTATGTACCAATATTCTTCAAATAGATTTATGCTCAACAACTTGAGACATTACTGACTCGGTGAAAGAAAGCATAGTGAGGAATACTGAACATTATAATCTAAAATCACGAACATGCACTAAGTACGTGTTGTGATTAATACTCGTTACTTCCCTGTATGTGAAGACTACTTTGCGCTACAGTAGGCTAATACAGGCTAGTATTATTATAAGAAATGAAATTATTCCAGTACTTTCAACGGTATTTATTTATAAAAATGTTTAAATTGTTGTAAATCGAATTCATAACTAATACTCATAACAACTTGTATCATTTTAATTTATTTATTAAATTCTCACTGTGCACCATTGCGATATTATGTACTAATGTACTAGAGAGGTCTTGCGGTACATCATACCCGGTACGGTGTACGGTTGGATACTCACTGATGAGTCAACACCCGTCACGAAGAGTCGTGTTTTTATCTTTCGTTAATCGTTTCACTATTTCATTTCATTACTAACCACAGATTTTTTGGTGATTTTGTACTGATCCTGCTTTTATATCTTTAAGTAATTATAGTGAAAAATAACCTGTTACAATGTAATAACAGTAAAAAAATCACATGTTACAGTGTAGGTAATAGATAATCTCTATTTTACTTATTCTATAATAACTCAGCTTCTAGATTGACAAATCTTTTCAGCTATTAGTTGTTTATATATACGTTTTCAAATGGTACTTTCATCTTGTTAACACTTGGGCTCAAGAATGTATGGAGACGTCTTCTTCTCCTTTTATATTATTTTGTCAATTTCATCAGCTGCACTATTTAAAAGACACTACCCACATCAATAAAAATTGTTATTTTAAGTTTTTACCTTATTTTCTAACTCAGGCTTAACCTACAACTTCTTGAATCTAATATCTTTAACAGTACAATTTTTTTTAATATCACAAGCCTATAGCACTCTCCTATCACTGTAAGCCAGGATCTATAATGGTTTTGTCCTTGAATACCACCAGACAATGAAGCCCCGTATGTAAAAGAGAAGACTTGCTGTCTTGCTAAACATCAACACAGCAAGTATCCTCGGCATGTTCATAAGCAACACAGAAAATCTCATCATCATGCCTAAAAAAATTTTCCCACCCTTCCACATAAAGTAGGCTACTTAGCATAGTTGGTATATGCTACTCATTTTTGTTGGTATGGGTACAGTATCTTTGACTGTTTGACTTCCTAAAATTTTTTAAATGATTAAATCGGCATCCTGTATATTATTTTTATCCATAACCCCAATCGATAAACGTCGTCAATCACTAACTTTAAATAAATAGTGACGCTACAGGATAACAGAGGGCGCTACTAAGAGCTGCAGTAGTGTAGTTGTACCACTTCTAGACCACCTGAGTCAGACGTGGTTCAACGACGTTCGTCGACATCCGATCCTAAAAAAAAAAAAAAAAAAAAAAAGGTTTTGGCATGCTCTGATCACGAATCCGCGGTCCATTTTTGTGTAGAATGCACGGTTCCGGAGATGTGTAGATCAATTAGCTAATATCTAATTGATATCCGGTAAGGGCCTCCACCGTCATTAGCGTCCCATTGTTGTTCCTATTTCTATTGTTCTATTGTTCATTAATCACCTTCATTGCAGCGTGTGCGTCGACTATATCAGTGCTATTGTGTTATAGTTCTTTGTTCCTAATTATACAACGCTAATCTGAATCATCAATAAAACACATTACATAATTTTGTTACAATTTTTATTTATAAAATACAAAATCTTATTAATTATTATCTATAAAATAGGAGCGAAACATCTCATCCACTAAAATATCGTTGTACAATGTGTCCCTTGTAAATATACTCGTAAAACTATGTATTGAATATCCTTGAAACTTATATAGCAAATACATTAAGCAATATTCGCCACAAACTGAAGTCCACTCATTCTGAATCCTATCAACATTCCAGTTCCATCTTTTACAATTCCTTTTTAAAAACTCTAGATGATATCGTACAGGTGATCGTCCATATGAATCAAAATATTGACCGACGTCATTCGTATCGATATACAAAGCTACCCAATGTGACCCTGGTTTATCATCTGTATCCAAATTACATATTATATACGTTGGTACGTGGGTATACATAGGCAGTCTATTAGCTGCATAAACATTATTTTCTAGACTGGGGTGAATCTTTTTCAGATGTTGTTGTACATCTAGTGTATCCATGATATTACTGCTATTAGTAGATTATTACAGTACCTAGCTACTCAATGAATAACATAGGAATGGTCAATTATAGTGATTTCTACATATTAAATTGCATTTTTGTGTTATACAAATCGTACTTGAGTCATTGATCACCAAACAAAACACAATACGAAGAAATGTTGAGATAGGCAACGGAAATGTGAGATAAACTGATATGTTTCTAAATATTAAATTGCATTTTTGTGTTATACAAATCGTACTTGAGTCATTGATCACCAAACAAAACACAATACGAAGAAATGTTGAGATAGGCAACGGAAATGTGAGATAAACTGGTTGACGCATAAAGTAATTATCAACTCATTACGGAAATACTTTAGATTAGAATTTTACGTACTGGTGGTATATAAGACCAACAAACGCAGTCATCGAGTTAGTGTACGGTCGTTTGGTTACAGTGGATCTATCAATAGTACATTTTGTGTTACTTCAATACACCAAAGGCTATGGATGTAAGTGTTTATTCTATTGACTAAATTACTTTTTTTCTGTTATTTTCATGTGTGTGTATTATTTTATTTAAATATTGTGTATGTATATGATTAAGCCGTGGTAACTCAGATGGTTAGCGCTAGCTGTAAATTTCACAGTACGCGACCCGGGTTCGATCCCCGCCAGCACCAATTAAATTGTTAATAGCAATTTTAAGTGCTTATTACCACGTGCTTGGTGGTGAAGGAAAACATCGTGAGGAAACCTGCATGTCTGAGAAAATTTCGAAGGCATGTGAAGTTCGCCAACACACATTGAGGGAGCGCGGCGGACATTTCCTTGCTCTAAAACCCTCTCAGAAATGAGAGGAGGCCTATGTTCAGCAGTGGACTTTAATAGGCTGTAACTTTAACTTTTTTAACTTTTATGATTAAGTGTTAACAAATTGATATTAACATGATAACTGTGTTGTTGCAGAAATCATTGAGCTTCGATGAAGATACCTATAAACAGTATTACTACTCGCCACTCTCCCCTCAAGAAGAGAGTGATGACCTCGTCATTAATAATAACACATGCGATGGTGGAAAAAGAAAATCGCAATCGATTGATCATTTTTTTGAAGCTGAATCAAAAATAAAAAAGAGGAAGCTGTTATCATCAACCGTAGCACGAGCCGCTAGAGATGGTGTATCATACATTTCTACTAATTCTGACGACGGAGACCAAGCGACGCATCTCATCAAAATTGAAATGTACGATATGAAGAAGCTATCCAAGATTCCAACTACTGATCATTGGAAACATGCTTCCACTAGAATTAAATATTACGTAAAGACTAATAGGGATAGCATCTACGACAACACAAACGCCCTCGTATACAATATAACAAAGACAATAGCAGAAAGTGAAAAAGTTAAAAAATACTTTTTTAACAATGACAGTCATTAGCTGATCATTAGTGAATGTGATTCTGTTTACTTCAATTACAGGAAGACAAGAGCGGAAGGAAGAGATGAGTGTGGCATACGTGTACAAAACACATCATTGAATAACAAAACTACAACACTGAGTGGAGAAGAAAACGAGAAGAGTATGCAGTACTCAAGAGCTGAATATCCATTCTTCAGTTCAAAATCTAGCCGTTTGCTTAGTTTCGAAAACTGGCCTCTAGTTATGCGACAGAAACCTGAAGATCTTGCAGAAGCTGGTTTCTTTTATACTGGCCATGCAGACGGGACCAAGTGTTTCCATTGTGGTGGTGGTTTAAAAGATTGGGAAGATGATGATGATCCTTGGCAGCAGCATGTTCAGTGGTTTAGTCAGTGTGCTTATGTAAAATTTCAACTCGAACAGTGTTTTGTATTAGATTAAATAGAAGATTTATAAAGAAATAAAAAAAAATATATTGCATACAATTTGTTTTATTTAATTTTATAACGTTTCACATAGTTACATACACACAAAATGCATTACACATAACACATAAAATCTAACACACAACACATATTATAACCTTAACTACTATAGTCTACAGTAACATTTCTGTTTTTATCTATCTCAATAATATTATCAAACTCAGCATAAACTATACAGTTAATTGTTTGTATTAATGAGGATTCAAATCGTACTTCTATTCTTACACTACCATGCTTTATGAGATTCCAATGAGTTGATGAGTTAGCTGATAAATCAGGAGTTAAGTCAAATGCTAATAGACAGTAACCTTTGCCATACTGTTCACAAGAGATTCCATTTCCTTCATTAAGAAAGTGAATACCAGTTCCCGAGAATAGAGTATGATATGCTGATGTAAATATGCTATTATTAAAAGATGGTTGCAAAGCTTTTGAAGGTATTTGTTGACCATCAATATATAAGCTGAAAGAATTAATACCATAGTTTTCAAAGTTAAATGGATTTTTAGTAAGGGAACCATTAAATGCAGAATTGTTCACAAATCCAATTATACATCTTTTCGGTACCTGTCCTAAAAATATATTATCAAGAGTTTTTCCTTGAACACCCGAAGGAATTGTTAAAACTTTTACTTCAGCTCGAGTAATAGGATATTTAGCAGTGGTAGAAGCTAAAACTTTTTGATGTGCGAGTAATACACTTGGATTAATTCGTGCTCGTCGAACAATAAGAGTTGCGTCCGTAATACAAACTTTAAACTTTACATCGTTTGATCCAACAATTAAATTAAAACTCTCTCTTAATCGAACCAATTTAACACTCATTTCAACACCATTAATTAAAAATTTATCTTGGTTAAAAATGTCACCGTGAAGATGACCAATCATTTCTATTTCCTTACTTTCACTAATCAATTCCTGTCTTTTAACAAATCCTATGTTTTTACCATCTGTAGAATCCATTTTTCCTGCTGTATCCTCATACCAAAGACTACAAGTAAGATGAGATTGTTTAGCAGCAGGGGCATAGTTTAAAAGGGTTTCCATGTATGCTCGATATGCATAGGTATTATTAGGTGGTGATACAAGTTTTTGGTTTAAATAAACATCAAGTTGACTAAAAAGTGAATGCAGCCAATTATTTACAGGTGCTACTATTGTAGTAGATACCAAGTTAGTTGAATCTTGATTTAATACTTTTGCCTTTATGTGGAGTAATGTATGAGACAAATCTATGTAGTCATCGCCGGTCCCAGGAACTTGAAACTCGATAGGTCCATCATCACCAAGAGATGAAATTGGTTTATAATGAATCCACAATCCATTTTCAATGCTAGTTTGTGTAGACGGTAGTGCAAACAAATCCAATTCTGACTTAACGCACTCGCAAGAATGATTATGAAGGAAAGACATATTTAGTTTGAAAATATATCTTTGATATTTTTTGGTTTTAGACTAAGTTTTTTCGCAGCTTTCACTTTAGCAGTTAATGGTGGAATGAACGATGTCAATCGTTTTCTTTTAGTTTTATACCCAGATCCAGTCATGTTAAATTGATCAATTTTCTCATCAGCCTTTCGTTTTAAATTCGTACTAACTTGCTTTAGACGATCTTTTATTGAGGCTTCCATAGGACGGGCTTGAACCATATCCGATAAAAGTCCTACTCCAGCGCTTAATGCCTCCTTACCAATCACTCGAGCACCACTTGAAAGTAAAGGTAAAACTGATCTGAATAACCCCCCTAAGAAGCTCCCAATACCATGACCGCGTTGATATGGTGAACCCTTATAAATTACTCCAACTCCTGATCCAGCTTGATGTGTATAATAATTTTCATATGGACATTTATGATGATCACGAAGAGAATTCATTATTATAATTTTCGGAAATGTAGTTTAATACACACGGTTCCAAACTGGAATGGTATTTTTTGTCCTGTACTCGATCTTATAACTATTTCCAACGTATCGAACTCTCTTCGCATAACAGGTAAGTAGTGAGGTTGAGAGAAAACGTGCATTTTATTTGCACCATAAATGTATTTTGTAGGATCTAATGAAATGACTCTTAATAAAGGAGTCATAACATCACCCACAATCTGAGGATCGATAATGTCGCAATATAGAAATAGTTGAGATGGTAACCCTAAGTGTAAATTAGCAGGACACTTTCCAAAATTTCTCTCTAGGAGATTTTTATTTGGTTCATAACCTAGCTGTAAACTTAATTTGGGTGATAATGTTACGGATGTTATATTTTTATCCAATACCGAAATAGACACAAATTTTGTTATTTCATCATAGCGAAATTTCAAGTTCTCTCCGATACCATTTAACACTCTTAAAATATGCTCAACGTTATCATAGTTGGTAGCTGGAATATGTTTTTTGTAGTACACTGTGGATGGCTTATCTTCATTAGGCATTAACATAGATTTTGTAATGTATATAACATTTTCATGGTCTTGAACAGTAAACATGGTACATGGATATTGAAACTCGACAACTCCAACCGACCATTCACCTTCTAATTTTATAGCTTTTGGTAATTTCGTTGAAAAATTTGTGGTCTTGTTATCAGGAAAGTATTCCATTGAACTATTGCTGAGCAAAGTTAAATAGAAACTTTCTTTATTCATATTTCTTTTAAACTAGAAGCTAAAATCCAACTGTTAAATTTATCTGGATAACCTTTCCACTTCACTAATACTTCTTTTCTGTTACTTGAATAACGAGTGTCAATTATTTTATCTATTTTATGTTGTGAGGTGGGGTTGTAAGTGATTTTCTGTAATTCTCTTTCATAAAAAGTACCAATTATTGGTTCATTTTGTAAATCTGTTATTGTATAAACAACCCATGGAGATCTATCAATTATTGAAGATATAATAAATATTTCATCACTCCAATTTGATTCATATCCTTTTTGGAATACATGTTTATATTTAGTTATTCGAATATAATCACCCACATTGAAATTTGGTTTAGGATTTTCTAAAGAAAGTTTTTTTGACCGTCTATCATAAAGATTAGTCCAAACTGTCATAATATTGTTGGAATTTACATCACATGGGCACATCTTAATACTAGAGTGAAAGCTGTGATT